TCTGTTAAATGCATCACACCTACTCCATTCTAAATAAATTACTGATGCTTCTAGAAGTTGACTTACTGATAGTTCTAGAAGTCACTGAAACCCAATCTTGCACTTATTTCATTTTCAAGTTCTACTAGAGCCCTAGGCAAAGCACTAGGGAAAAAAATCGTAAGGTAGTGAGAAGGTAGAAGGCAAAAAAAAAAAAAAAAAAACCCTCAGAAATTATGCACATCTTCCCTTTGGAGGATCTTTTGAGTAATAAGTGAAATATTATATATTTCATAAGCTTTTAAAATACTTCAAAACAAGAACTTTGATGCCAGAAATATACTTGGACATGAGAGCAGCTTGCCACTGGCAAGCTCTGCTTAAACCTGTTACATGAACACATTGAAAATTAATCCAACTCCTTCATGTATTTCCCATCAGATAAAACGCATAGAGGAGGGGGGAAATGTCAGCAAAAGTTAGAACTAACCTGCACAAATCTTTTACTATAGCGAACTCAGGGCGGGACTAGCTCAAAGCAATACATGAAATAGAAATCATTTTTCTCCAGTTCTGCCTACTTCAGATATCATCGATTCCAACCTTAGGAACAAAGAAAATTTTGGTGGGAATTAGGGGAGGAGAAGTTGGAATTGGTTAGGAAAATACATATTTTTTTATTTTTAAGAAAAATCTAAATCTGCTATTATAGTTTTTTTTTTTTTTAACTAAATGTAAGCAAATGGTGTTTATAGTAAGTGATTTGGGTTGTGGGGGAGGACTATTCTCTTCATTTATACCAATAGGCCTGTCTAGGAATTATGACAAACTTATACAGACCTTAGTCATTCATATTTGGTAAAGCCAACATCCACACAGTTAGTTACACATCACATAGAGTGGATCCTTTTACCTCAATGGTCAACATTGCTTAAGTTGTGGGTAAGCATAATTGCTAAACATTTCACAAGAAAACGACCTCAACCCCTCGCTAACTGCCCTAGCTCTGAGGCAATTCCTTTTTTCCTTTGCATAGGGAAGCTGCTGCTTCAGCATCTCCTCCCGGAGCCCCTGGCGCCGGTTCAGGCCATGTGTCAGGGGAACCCTTGATCACATCACAATGACGGAAGCCAAGTGCTAGCCTGCAAGAATTGAGAACTGTTTGTTCACAGAAGATCCCGAGTAGAATCACGGGTGTTCCATAGTTCAAGGGTGCCTTGAAGGAAACCATGCAGGAGGAGACTTTTCAAAGGCTCCAGTTATTTCTCAGTTGCTGTTCCATTGCACTCTCCTTGCTTTTATGAAATTTCGCCAACAGTTGTGGATTGGGAATTTTTCTCCCTATAGTTAGTTCCTTGACTTAGCAAGATTTGAGACAGTTAAATAGAAGAATTTTCATATAGTTTCAAGCAGTACCACAGGGAATACTGCTCTCTGGGGAGAAAAGTATTTTATTCAGGAATACAGTGTGTGTTCTTGGTAAAATACAAAATTAAATGAGCTCACTGTGTCTTGCTATCAATGACACTTAGGTGGGTTTGTTTAGTGTGGTGATTAAAGTTCCTGTAAGATTGCTGGCAACTTCACATTGAGGCTTTTTAGCAGGGATGAAAAGGTCAGTGACTCAGTGTCTTAGACCATTTGGGGTTAAAATTCCTAAAAGTTAAGATTTAATAATGATCCTGAAAAACTGTGATTAACCATATTGCCTATAAACCTAGGCATTTGGAAAAAGTAGTATTAGTTCTTTGCTAATATCAACAATAATCCTTTATTTGAGCAACAGTTTTATAGAACAAACTGTTCTTTGCTGTTATTAGCAATTATTTTCTTACTTGTTGGTAAGTAGATGTGCTCTGTTCATTTTTTCCCCCATTCTCCAGATTTATAAGGTACATGCAGAAGATGTTAGAACTTAAAATACATCTATTAACACATTATGATTGCACCCAAATGTTGATTGTCTAGGATCTGGACATAAAGTAGGTCTTCTGAAATAAGTTGTTCCCATTGCCCCTGTACTTCCTTCTTAAGGGCAATCCTGTGTTTAAGTACATGTTTTGAAGCATTGGCTCTCCAGAATTACATTTCTATTATGATTAAAAAATAAACAGTGAAATATAATATCTGGTGCCACATCCTGTTGGGCCCAAGGCCTGTATTTCTGAAAAGCTTTGAGAAGCTGAAGATGGGAGGGGATTACTTACACAGGAGCTCAGACTTTTGGAAGAATTGGAGAGCAGGGAAGAGGAACATGGAAAGCCAAGTTTTAGCGGTATGGAGAGAGGATTCCTGGCTTCTGATGTAACCAGTGACTGGAAAGATGACAATGAAAAATCCTTAGCACAATGATTTTGCATCTTTAACCCACTGGGTGTGCTAACAATGGACAGATTACCCAAAATAAGTCAATTTATTCTTAAAATATCCTACATCCCTATTTTATACAGCAGAGAGATGAAAAAAAGCAAAAACAAAACCATCTAGCCCTGGCAGGGTTGCTCAGTGGTTGGAGCTTTGTCCCATACACTAAAAGGTTGCAGGTTGGACTCCAGTCAGGGCACAGGCCTACTGGTGCGTTCAGTCCCCATTCGGGCTCCTCAGGGGGCCACCAATTGATGTTTCTCACATTAAAGTCCCTCTCTCTTTCACTCTCTTTCTCTTTCTTCCTTCCCCTCCCCCCTTTCCTCTCTCAAATCCTTGGGAACATATAGATGTACTACCATCATCACAACTAGGTATTGCTATGCTTGCATATGGAAAGTATTAGGGTGTGGGATTACAAGGGACTTTCTCCATTATGTCTTTGTATAATGTTTCAATTTTTATAACAAGCATGTTAAATTTTTCATATTCTTATAATCAATCAGGGCAAGGATATACAGGTAAAATATTTTATACTCACTATTTTAAATTATCTTTAAGGTTGTTCTTTTTGTTAGAGATAAAAGCTCCAGTCTTACACTTTATAACTCACCTGGCAAGGTTTAGGTAATTGTTTGTTCACCTCAAGTATACATTTACAGAGATTGGTATAGGGGGGGAGGGGGGGAGCACACACAGTAGAATGGAAGAGGCAAATTTTAACCTAGAGTTCTCAAAGTGAATAGCAGCAGTTCAAGAATCCTTGATAACAATGAACCACGCAGTACATGTAACAAATACTTGCAAGTTATTCTAACTTTTACAAACGATATATAAAAACTTACCTGGAGAATCCCAGGAGCTTGAGATTCAGTCTGTGCTGCTGATCATTTATAGAGCCTACGTTTCAAAGGCAGAATTTCTTCTCCTATATCAATACCTGTAGATTCCAAGACCAAGAAAAGCCATCTCACAAACCTCATGTAAGCTTTTCAATGTATTCTTCCTAACCAAAAATGACAAAGTTTTATAAGATGGACTTTGGGGAGTTTAGATTATTTTTCCCACGAGAGGTTTGCTTATTCACAGGCTAATGTAGCAAAGTTCTCCATTATAGATGTGTTCATGGAGAGTGCCCATGGGACCCAGGTCAGCTTTTGTACACAGAACTGGCTTTCATATATAGTCTTTCATGTTTCTCACCTCTGTAGTTTATTCTGTGCATGGTGGATAGAAACATCCTGCCAGCCTTTTTCCACTTGGCATCCCAAGACCATCCTGGTCTCTGGTTTGCAATTCCACAGGCTCCCACAGCACGCATGCAGGACATGTGCAGATTGCCTTTACTCTGTAGTGTATTCCCAGGGCTGTTGCTTTAAGATAACTCTTAGGCAATGCTGAATATGAAATTTCAGCATACTGTCAAGTCTGAGCGCTCCGATCCACAACTTTGCATGTTTTTGTTTGCTTGTATATGTCCTCCCCCCAAATTGAGTCTGGTGCTGAGCCGGGGCTGAGTACTGAAAAAAAGTCAGGTCTTGGTAGAAATGCTTTTATTCCCACCACCACCCTGTCCTCATGAAAAGTAGGCAAATCCTAAACCCTCAGAAACGAAGGGTCAAAAACCCTCAAACCCAACCCCAGAAACGGTTGCGCGGGTCCTACATAACCTTGTTGGTGCAGCCCGTCGGATCTCCCGCGAAATATCCCTGGTGGCTGCCAGGGGCGCAGACGAGGAGGCTCTGGCTCCCGGGGAGTCCCAGCGGGGGCAGCGGCTCCGCAGGGGCTCAGGGTCCGCGCGGGGCAGGTGCAAAGCCGCGCGTGCGCGCCAGGTCCCCCTCCCCGCGCCCCGCGGGCTCCACGCCGGGTTTTCCGCTGCTCCCCGCGCGGACCCATCGCAGCCCGCAGGCACCCTCGCCCGCGCTCCCCTCCGCCCGGGCGTCCCAGCCAGCGGGCGATGCCGCGGCGGGGCGGCACCGAGGCTGCAGCGGGGCAGGACGCCGGGGGCCGGGGCTGGCGGAGGTTGCGGAGGACCGTTTTGTAGGGAGCCGAGGAGGGGCCGGGCCGCGGGGGGCCGAGAGGGGCGTGAAAGGGGGAGTGTTCCCGGAAAGCCGCCGCGGCGATGGGGCGCTGCGCCCGCCGCCCGCCGAGTTGAGAAAGAAAACAGGAAACGTGGTGGCCGCGCACCCACCCGGCCGCGCGGCTGATTCATTCGCGCGGAGCGAGGCGCGGCCGGCGGGGCGCTTGGGCGCTGGACCAGCCGCTCCCGCGGGGCGGGCTCCTCCGGGGCGCACGCGCCTCCCCCTTCGTCATCCTCCAGGACTAGGACTCCCGGCCGGCCGCGCCGTCTTTCCGAGTCGCATCGTGGTCTCCTGGTCCGTCCGCGTCTCCGCGCGTAAAAAAGTTGGCTCCGCCGCCCTCGGCGCGCCCTCCGGACGCCGCACGGAGACGCCAAGCTGGAGAGCCCGCGCCGCCCCGAGGACGGCTGCCCCGCCAGCAGCGCGCCCGGCCCGGCAATATGAAGGAGCAGCCCTCATGTGCGGGCACCGGGCATCCGAGCATGGCGGGGTACGGCGGCAGGATGGCCCCCTTTGAACTCGCCGGCAGCCCCGGGAAGCGCCTGAGAACTGAGCCCCCCTTTCCCTATCTCTTCGCAGAGGAGGCCTACCAGAAACTGGCCAGCGAGACCCTGGAGGAGCTGGACTGGTGTCTGGACCAGCTAGAGACCCTGCAGACCAGGCACTCCGTCAGTGAGATGGCCTCCAACAAGGTAAGGCCCTGCTCTGCTCTCTCCGAGGTCCGGAGGCGGTGGATTCATTCCCACGCCGGGGGAAGCCACCAACCAGTTCCAGTGGCCCCGGGAAATAGATACAGATTGTTAGCAGTTCTGCTCCCTCCGAGGGAGGTTTCCTGATTCGGTGCCTTCCCTCTCTCTTCCATTCACTCCAGATAAATGAAACGTTTTTGCAAAAGTCGCTTTGACATAGTTGATTGCAGTACCTCCAGGACACAGTGGTTTGTTTTGTTTTGTTTTGTTTTTTGGGGGGAGAGCAGATGGGAAGAATCGTGACACTTTGCCCTTGCTGCAGAAACCCAGTCGAGTGCATGGGCATTGCATGTTTAAGGGGTATCCTTGGGATTCCCAGTTGGAAATAAGAGTTGCTAGAGGGCAATGCAATCTCTTGCTGTCATCTCTCAAACTGAACTTGGAACCTTAGCCCCTCGTTTTGTCTAGGGGTCAGGGGACCCTGTGAAAACTGATCCTTTATACGTTCACTTGGTCAAACCTGTCCAGGAGGAACGTCAGCAAAGATAGAAAATACCGTTATGATCTTTACCGTGTTCCTTCCCTGGAGTCTTGGAAAGTCCAGCTTTCTGAGGTCATTTAGTGACAGGGATGCTTTGATGGGGTGTTCGTGCCCTATCTGCCTTGGTGGTTAGTGGAGTTTGGGAGGCTGAGAAGTAACCTTCAGCCTGGCTCAGCTGTAAAGCAAGGTAGAGTGTTGTCTGTTTTGCTTGTATTTCTCGGAATTCCTGTGTTTTGTCGTTAGTTGTGTAAGGAAATCATTGGTTATGTATGTCTTTATGAGTATTGGCTGAGGGGATAGGGAAGGAGGCCGACCCATGTTGGATGCAAATGGCCAGGAGATTCAACCAGTAAGAACTGGGTAACTGTGTGACAATTAGTAACAGTTGCCTCTTAAAGATATTTTATTTTGAGCCACCTATTTACAAGGTCAGGAAGTGTATACCATTTTACTGTGTATGTGCACGTATTTTCCAGAGAGTGATGCTTTTTTTATTTTATTTAAGCCTACTGTCGTTTTTATGCCACCTGTTTTTTTTTTCCTCACGCAGTTTTTTAAAATACCATAGCATATCAGCCACTTGTCTTATCTGTCGATAATGCTTACATAGACAGCATTGTTTTAAAGTGAAACGCTACCTGCAAATAAAATAAGGGACTCTCCAGTCACTGGCTGCAGGCACTAACGTACCCATAAGCATGCTGACTTACCCATAAGCATGCTGATCAAATGTAATTTTTTAATTTTATTTTTATTTTTATTTTTATTTTTATTTTTTTGTCATTTGGGCCTCATTTCTAAATTTGGTGTGGCTCTTCATTAAATTGATGGATTATTGCTCTCCTACTCCCTGCTGTGGCACTAGGTGCCATTGTTCTCATCTGGCTTACGGATTCTCAGTTTATTTATTAAATTTCTAAAATATAAATTATCCGCTCATAATTTGATTCATAATAGCAGTGGACATAAGCTGAGTATCTCCATTGTCCTAGCTGCTGAATGGGACCATTCTGCAGTGGGCCTAAGCTCTGAATCCTCTTCTCTGGCTAATTCTGTGCAGTAAAAGAAAGAGCTGAGCCTGAAGGCACCTGCAGGCAATTGCTTTTGTTTTCTAGATGATTTGACTGTATTTTTCAGCAAAATGAACCGAAGCAGCTACAATTACTTTCCCCAAAAATCCATACTCTTAATGATGAGACCTGTCTTCTGATTTAAAAATAAACATGAACTCTAATAATCCACTATATATGACAACTGACAAGTAATTATCCACATTTTAAGATTTAAAAAATAAAACTTTATTCACAATAATTACTCAAAATGATTCCTTTCTTTTAAAGGCATCTCATAAGACAGGGATTTTTATTTTTAAATCTTCATTGTGAAGGACCCTAAATTAAACTATGACTGTGTTAATATACAGGTTTATTTGGTTGAAGTGCAGTCTAGGTTGAGAAAATACTTCTTCAAAATATAGTCATTTTGGCAGCCTATGTCTTATGGTTGAATGATTACTGACAGGACACTTATTTTTAACATTAATTTTTTTTTCAACTCAGATGTAGTTGTTGCTTAAACTTTTAATGTCTAAGCCATTCATTTTTTAACCCATTCATTTCTAGATGAGTGCTAAGCTCATGTAACTTTTTATAGATGAAAAAGGATTAGTATAAAGAGGGGGGGAGCTCTTAGTAAAGGTTGTAAAATGACCCTTCTGTTTGATAGCAAGGGCAGGAATAAGTCACATCCACATGAGCTGTAAACTGAGTTGGAGCAGCTGATCTGAAGGTCCCCGTGAGTGAGCCTAAGTCAAAAATGGAATAGTGACAGCTTGTATCACACGTCCACTAGGTTGTCTGATATCTCTTGAGTATGAATGAGTAAGTCTGAAACATAGCTTTGGGTTATTTATTACCATCTTTTTTTTTTTTTTTTTTTTTACATATACTTGTTTGAACCAATCAATGTGTTCAGGTTAGTTTTGCTTTGAAAAGTCATTACATCTTTCTCTGTTTTCTTCTCTGGTTTGAAGAAAAGAAAAGTTACTCTAACAGATTTAAATAATAAAAACTAGTAAGAAGTAGGATTTGTAAATGATTATATAGAGAACTATATGCACATAATCACTGTATCTTTATGGTGATTTTTATGAAGATGCATTTAGGTGTCAGAAAGAAGGAAATTGATTCTTCAAACCCATTTAGCTAATTGGGTTAAAAGATTCTTCATATCTTTTTAAAAATCCTAATGTAAAAAACCGGAATTATTAGCAGTTTTTAAATGATGTTTTAGAAGTAACTAGCTATATTTCCTGATGGGTGTTGTAATGAGCATAATGCTTATTGATGGTATTGAGGTAGGAAAATTATTGAATTCTTGTCCAAGGCCAGAGTTGGCGTAATACATGTAGGATGCTTGTACCAAGTAGGGTAAGAGGCTCCAGATGGTATTTAATTTGAGTGGTTAAATCTACAGCACTTGCCCTCATAAATACATTAATCTGCCTGAATTTGTACAGATTTCCTTTGGAGCCTCACTGCTACAGTTAAGGATGAATTTGGTGAACTCTCAAAGTTTTGGAGGTAGACAGACCTAGAAATTGAATCATGATTTTGTTCCTTGCTAGCTGAGTTACATCAGAGAAAGGACTAACTTTTTTAGCTTCAATTTCCTTAACATAAGGTGGACACCATATCTATTTTGAAAGGCTAATGCAGAAGGTTGAAAGAATAAAATAACTAGAAACAAGTAATGACTGATAATAGTAGGCACTATACCTGTTGTTGTTGGCATTATAATTTGAGTTTTAGGTCAAACTTAGTTGGTTGCTTACTTGGCTAACATATTTTTTTTTAACATTCAGTTATAACTTATGCTTGACATTTTAAGTTTATGGGTTTTCATAATATAATTATTAAATAACTGTCTTTAATGTACATTGCTTTATTATAAAAATGCTTAAATTATGTAGACACTTTTTTGATTCAATAGCAACATAAACATTTTGAAGTTCTTATTAGAAGTTTAGTTTTTTCTTACATTCCAGTTACAGAATTTCAAACAGAAAAGCCAAATAACTCTTAGTTTTACTGTATAACTGGGGGGGCGGGGGGGGGTTGGGGAACCAGTTCCTACTCATTTTCAGAACGTATAAAACTACTTGGGTTCGGTGGACAACATTTCCATCCTTTTGTACAGATTGTGCAGAGCTAGAATATCCTGCCAGATGTTTGTAATGCAGAGTAGTTTCACGGTGATTTTGGTCACCTTCTCTTATAGAAAGTCAGTTGAGGATTCAAGGAGGACAGGCCAGGAGCCTAAGCCTCAGGGTTTTCAAGGATTATGCTCTAGGACCCTATAACTTTATTCACTGAAGGCCTAATAACACCTATTTCACCAGGCCTTCAATGTAAGTGCAGGAATGTTTGAAGAAGGAAACAAAATCCCTTTGATTTCTCCTCAAAATGTGCCACTCTAAAAATATGGGGGGTTTTTCCTCCTGTCTAATTTGGGGGCAGTTTCTTGTCTTGTCATTGCTGGAAACTACTGTGCTTCAAGCTGAAAGCACATCTTGAAGTTAACATTCAAGCATCCTTCTAAGAGACAGACGGCTTTTCTTTAGAACATTCCAGATGTATATAGGCCAATATTGCAAACATGGTCATTGTTTCTTTATAGGATCTATTTTGTCTATTTGTTTTTCAAGAAATATCTCTGTTGTGCTTCTATTGCCATAAATTACATTGCATTTCTGGGGTGCTTTTTCTTAGTGTTTCATTGTCTGCTCCCCCTGCTGCTGTTTAATAGTCAGTGCATACAAATATATACTCGAGTTTTCTATGACTGCTGATGCATTTTCTTCTGGGAAAGAGGGGAGCTAGAATGAATATAGAATGTTTATAGAGGTAGCTAAAGCTTAAGGTATTTCAGCATTATGTGAGTATTACAGAACAGGAACAAATGTTTACTTTTGCTAAGAAGGAAGTTGAAGTTAGTTGGAAAAAGTATTTTAATTTTATGAAGAACAAATATCAACTGACAGTCATTTTCTATATTAAAATATTAAAATTTTTGACATAGTCATAAGAGAATTAAGAATTAATAAACATGCCTAAAGAAAACTTGAAATTTTAAAAGTAGAAATTTTTTGAATCTATAGAAACTCGACTTATTGATATTTTGAATTTGCTTTTTCATTTACTTAATAAAAGTAGATTTGGCAAAGAGTTATGTAGTTTACATGTGTGCCATAGTTATTACAAAAAATTGGGAATATCCCTAAAAATGTAATTATCAAAAATTTCTAATTTAGGATTCAGAACATTAGACATTACTAGAAATGGGTAGCCCTTTATTTCAGTTAGTATATTTTGATTTAATTATCAGATAGAGGTAATGTATTAGAGCATTATAAACTATGTTTTTGGGTTTGGTTTTGTGTCTTTCGTGTTTTTCTTTTCAT